CCAAAACTCCCCCGCGAGCCAGTACTTTTATTGCAGATTCTGCAGATTACTGTGTTAAAAATATATAATTAAATTCGATGTACATACCTTTTTTTTGTTGTTATCTGCTTGATGTATATATAGGCTGAAATGCAACGGTAGAATTCGATGTCACTATGAACGCACAGAAAACAGATCACACTCTGTATCTAAGACTTGATACAACTGTCTGTTCATGACCATAGAAAGGGCAATAATCTCTTGCAGCTATAACGGAAGGTCTTAGCCCTGAAGAAGGAACCCCTCTAGCTCTTTTTCTTGAATAGCCATTCTTTCATTCTTCTGTCCTTTAGACAAAAGATTCGAAAATCTGAAGGGTGTAACAAGATGTAAAGTTTCCCAGCAGAGAACCAAATGATTTTATTGCTTCCATCTGTTTTATGACACCAGGGTCTGCTACAATTTGTCAAGTGTTTCCAACAGAAATGAATTTATAAAGCAGAACAACTCTGTGAAGAACATGGAAAAAATTTTACAGTGCGTATCAAAATTAAAAGAAAAAATTGAAAAAAAGAGTATAATTGTTTGTATAAAAATTTTCAAATCGTCCGTTATAATATGCAACACTATGTTCTTTGCTGATACAAACAAAGTTAATTCGATCCATTTATCATAAAATTATGTTAGATACAGCAATTTTAAACACGATGCTTAAAATTGTTTAAGCGCCCTAACAGGAACAGACATTTAAACACAGAGTAACAATGGGCATTTAAACACGCACCAGCAGTGGGCATTTAAATAAACTCCGACCAGCTAAAGCTTACTACCATTTCAAAAGTCCAGCATTTAAAGGTTAAATAGTTCAGAATTACCTGTAGCCCATCTAATTTTGAATTGAATACATTCATGGTCATATTCTAGTCACCCTCATTCATTTTTCACCTGTGCATGTTCAATTCTGCTGTCCCTGCATAGCTGATGAATTGTCAGTTATCCTTGAATCTGGAAAGTGGACAGCAGACAGTTTTTTCAAAGTTTCCTTTTCAGCCTGAGTCTGTTGACCATCAGATACCTTAATGGTGTCTATCCTGTTAGTTGCCTGTCTTTCCGTGATCTTCACAAGTCTGCCACTGCCTGGTACAACAGATTTCCTCTAGCATTACCTCATTCATGAGAACCTTTTTGGCTCTCCCAGTTTCTTTGTTATAACTGGTGGAGGACTTTTGGTGGGTGTCCCAGTGTGTGTCCTCTTGGCTATATTATGTAAGCTTCTTGTTTTGATCCTGAGCCTGCTAAACTCCTAATTCCACCAAGGCACACACCTTGGTGACAGTGATCCTGGCCAGAGTGTTTGGTGATAGGGTGACGTGATGGCTTGTTGCAGTTGGTCAACAGCCAGATCTGCATCTTGTAGTGAGGGAATATTTTGCAGTAGTCTCAGAATTTACCTTCAGGTCATCTTTATATGACCCTAAGCCAGTTCTCTGGGTATCTTTAACAGCGACTTTCACTTTTGCTGTATTACCTACTTGAAAGCATATATGCCTATTATCTTATAGAGAACGCTTGTTACATACATATCAGTTATTTGCGAGGTTCCCTATTTTGTTGGTCCCTAGTGTCAAATTGATGACCTCTTTGTGCTGTGGCCCACAAAGATAGGGTCCTAATCGAGATTCAGTGTATTATTTTAAATTTGTTGTAACTCCTGGGTGGAAGAAATTGTTTTTGTAAGGATATCTGTTTCCTATTTGTCAGTCTTTGGGCTGCCCTGGCCTCCTGCAGGGTAAAAATTCTATAAAGATCTAAATGTGAAATGTGTTCTTTTGAGAAACTAAATATATTTTGAAGGAAAATCTTGACTCAGGGAATACTAAATGCTGATTCCACATACTAGGCTCATTGCATGCTGTTCTATGTAATTTGCTAATAGGATATATAAGGAGAATATGACAGCATTGATCGATTGAGTGATTATTGATTGACTGATTGATTGATTGATTGATTCATTCATTCATTCATTGTTGATTGACTGATTGATTGACTGATTCATTCATTCATTGTAACATTAAATTCTGTATTGAATGATGATGAAGTATGTATTGTCATGTATAAGGCGTCTGCATGACTAATAACAATGGGTTCTAGATTTTATGGGCTGCCTCTGTGATCTAGTTGTCAGAGTTCCTGGCTACAGATCCAGAGGTCCCGGGTTCGATTCTCGGCGCTGTCAGATTTTCTGAGAAGTAGTCAGTCTTGAAAGGGGTCCATTCAGCCACGTGAGGATAATTGAGGAGCTGTTTGAAGGATATAGCGGCTCCATTGTAGAAAACCGAAATTAAGGGGCATGGGAATCCATTGTGCTGACCACATGACACCCTCTGTCAGCAAAAGTTGGCACTAACTTTGCCAACAAGTGGAAGTTGCTCGGTCCATATAATTTGCTTGTGGACTAAAAGCCATGGAGTTTTTTTTCTTTCCTAGATTTGATGATTGAGTTTATTGGCACTTCTTTACAATTACAGTTGATTATAACAGCTTGAATGTTGAACTCCTTGCAAATGTTGTGTGAAGAACCTCTGTGAAGAGGAAGTGCCTCACTAATCACTGACTTATCTCTCCTCCTCCTCCTTGAATTCAAGTCAAAGTTAAAGTTACTTTACTACTGGCAGTTTACCACCAGTCAGTTCATCTTGGAGCCAGGCCCTTTGAGGACCATGACCAGAGACTTTCTTTTTTCCAACTGAACTTTTGTGATAATAGTCCTTATGTAAGATCCTCTCTGACAAGAAGATGGGTTTGTTCCTAATGAATATACTTGGCTTTTCATCAAATGTATATTTTGTACATATTACATGTTATTAAAAATTCTTCCTTTTGCACTACACACAAGTCCTCTGTCAATAAAAGCTTTACAGAGCAGATCATGCCTAACTTACGCTTCTTATCTTTGCACAGTGGCAATATTGTAACCAGTGAGGTTTATTTGCGGTGCGATTATTTCTAGATGAAAACTTATACCTTGAATTCACGAATCCACTGCCTTGTATTATAACTTCCACATGGCTTGCATAGAGAACACCATGTATAATAATTATTGTCCTCTGTTAGTCTAGTTATTGTCGCAGAAATGCCTTTGTTAATATTTGTTGCAGCGGGAATGACTGTTTACGTAGCCATTGTCTAGCATATGATCATATTCGCTTCTGCTATTATTCTGATTTTTAGGCAGTGTTTACCTAGCCGTTGCCTAGCAAATGATCGTATTCATCAGAGCATGTATTTTGTTTTCCTAAAACATGTTAGTTTTTCTCTGACAGATTTTAATTACTAAGAAAATGTACAGAAAATGACTTAGTTCTTTAAGTTAATTTGACATTTCACTAATCATTTCATAATTCCATTTTGTCTTTTGTTTGTCATACTGTTAACATGATGCCTAGAAGTCAGACACTTGGATTCAGGGCAAATATCACAGAGATGTCCATTGCTAGACATCATTGAGCACCAATCACTGACAGCCACATGCGTGCACCATGGCCAATTCCTGACAGCTAGGTACAAACACAACTGAGAGGAAAGGTTAGGGGTAGCGTTTTTTAATCAGGCTGCAATGAAGCTATATACAGAGAGCTGGCAAGCTCTTCCTTCCTGTTGTCAGAACCCAGAGCCCAGCAGTGTGTTTGTGACAACAAAGCCAACAAACAAGAATGATGTAACAGATTATGAAATGATAGTATGTACTTGTATTCAGTGTAATTTTTTGTAAATAATATTGTAGCGTGTTTCGTGTGTCACGCTACAAATAAGTTCACGCCGTTCTTTGATATAGCGAGTTTATTCTTATCGCTCGCCTTACACACTCTTTACAATCATTTGCACTTGCAGTGTTACAATCACTGCTTACAGTATTCGGCGAGACACTGGACTCTCTTCTCCGAAGGCTGATCCGAGACTCTCTTCTCCGGAGGCTTGATGACGGCTGGCTTCTTAGCTGGCTCTTCTGAGACTGAAGACTTCTCGTCGAAACTGGGCTTTTATAACCTTGGCCGCTGTTAGGCAATGAACCCTTTGTTATAACCATGGAGACTCCTGTTAGAACTACAATGGAGCAATTGTTGTCTCCTCTGTAATGGTCTATTCTAGCGTTTCCATAGCAGTGACTCTTCTGGACTGCAAACACGTTACAATATGGTTCAGTGTCTTATAAATCTAATTATCAATCCGAACCATGTCCAAACCCTGTCACGTGATGTACATTCGATAGCCAGTTTCACTTTTGCTAACTTTGTGTGCTACTAACTGATACATAGGGCAGTGAGGTTTAACTAACTGATGATATGTTTTCAGGCACTGAATATGAATGTAGATATTGGGATGCCTCACAACCAACTTGGGACACTATCAGGGACGTCCAATTATGGTTTGGATGCAGCATACCACTATATGCGATGGTAAGAATTCACTAGACACTTCTTTAAAACGCTGATTCTGTCTTATGGAGGAAGATGTGTGCAGAATTACATGCAGGTCTTTACTGTTGCATGATTCACCTTTTGTGGTAGAAGTTTTGCTTGGAAGCAGATTATGCGAGGGATATTTGGAAAGTAAAGATACAAGTCCAGTAAAAATGCAAGGGAATCCTCCCCCCCAGAAATCACAGTGCCTCGATGTGAGATAGGAACTGTATGACAGGGCAGAGTTCTCCAGCCACAGTCACAGCAACATTGTCTCATTTTGTGTGTTTAAATTGGCTGCGTCAATCCAAAATCCCGCCAAATGTGAGGTTCGTGCAGTAATTTGATTTCTTCACGCAAAAGGAGAAACTGCTGCTGAAAATCGTCGCCAACTTATTTGTGTTTACAGCGAAGATGTTATGAACAGGCAAAACGTAGCAAAGCGGTGTCATGAATTTGAAGTGGGAAGAAGCGATGTTTATGGTGAAATAAGGAGTGGAAGGCCATCCGTTGTCACTATGAAATCATCCAAAAAATTGATGAAAACTTTCATGCTGACAGACATTTAACTATCAGTGAACTTCAACAACAATGTCCAGAAGTGTCAAGAACTATTCTCCATGAAATTGTTACAAAAAGATTAGGCTATCGGGAACTGTGCATGCATTGGGTGCCAAAAATGTTGGCAGATGATCACAAGGAAAACTAAGTGGCTGCAGTGCAGGCATTCCTCACGCATTGTGAGGATCGAGGTGACGACTTTCTGGACTGTATTCTGATGGGAGATGAAACTTGGGTATCTCATCACACACCTGAGAATAAGTGACAATCAGTGCAGTGGCACCACACACACACACACACACCAGAATGAAAAAAATTCAAAACCTTACCATCAAACTGAAAAATCATGGCAACCATCTTCTGGGGCAGGAAGGGGCCACTTCTCGTCAGTTTCTTATCTCAAGGAGACACCATCAGTGCTGCTGCTTACTGTGAGATGCTGAAGAAACTGCATCGGGCTATTCAAAACAAGCAGAGTGGAATGCTGACATGAGGAGTCTGCTTACTGCACGATAACACCCATCCACACGCTGCTCATGCCACACAGGAGTTGTTGAAGTCCATCAAGGGAAGTATTGGCCCATCCACCACACAGCCCAGACCTTGCACCAAGCGACTATCACTTGTTTTCTAAATTGAAGGAAAGTCTGGCTGAAAGACTTTTCCAGATAATGATGTTCAAGATGTGGTGATGACGTGGCTAATAGAGCAGGAGGGAGATTTCTATGACGCTAGAATAAAGAAACTTGTTCCCAGGCTCACTGAGTGCATTGCGATCTATGGTTACTGTGTTGGAAAATAAATAAAGGTGTGTTGTAAAGGTGCTACAAATGAATCCAAAAAGAAATGCTTTACAGATATTTTCTGGACTTTGTATCTTTATTTTTCTAAATAACCTTCGTAGATGGTTCAGCATTCATTTTGAATAATATTTCTGGTCTTTTCAGTTTGACATGCAGACAGCCTTTTGAAGGTGCAGAAGGTAATTTACGGAGGCTGCTGGAAAAAAATACGCAGTGGTTGGAAGAGCACTGCAAGAGTCAGAACGATCAAGTTGAAGACACCTTATCAATTCATCATGCCGAGCATATTCACAGACTGTTTGCAAGATTCCTGTTACTTATTGATATTTGGTTCTTTGATAAAACGTCGCTGATCGAGAGTCATCAAGTAAGATTACTTATTAAGGAAATGCCCTTTTAGAGACCACTGAGTGATTTTGGGGATTGCTCATAGTGTGGATAATATGGATTTCCAAATTTTTGGATTATGTGTTGTTACTTATCTCTACTACTACTCTTCTTTATCACAGTGGGTAATTGAGAGTTTGCTGCAGTAGAATTAGTAAAGGAGCTTAATACTACTAGTTTTACTGAAGAAAAATATGTTGGAAGGCTGCAGATTATTCTGTATTCACAGAGTTATCAGAATGTTGATATAAAGAAATATTTCATTTTTGCACATCTAAATAAACAGTGCAGTTATCTTAAGGCTTGCTGAAAATCATTGAGCAGAAGAACTGGATGTTCCTCCCATCTAGTCAAACCATGGAGATTTGGACTTCTGGTGAAATTGACAGACCTGTAGCCTAAGATATTACAAATAAAACTTACCCACATTAGAGCAGGAAAATTACAACTTAGTGCAAGACTTGAGCATTGTCTTCAAAACTTCCACAGATATATTGCACATGAGATTAGAGTTTCAAATTTACTCTGTTTTTGAAAAAGAACTTCAACACAGTACTGGAAGCTTTTTATGGAGGTGCCAGAAATTCACGTATAACAACAGAAAGCATTTCCATAATCATCTGTAAACTGGGTAAGTTGTTTGTAATGTGCTAGACTGTATATTAGCCACCTTGCAATAGCCATCCAATCCCTGTGATGTGGCTAGATGTCGAGCCTCCAACTTTTCCACCAGAATGGCTGAATCTGATTTTCAGGAAGCTGTGAGATGATCATGTCATATTACTTGTTATCATAAAATTCAATATGCATGGAAGAAATTACTTTCTTGTATCTCTCCTTTTACTGCAGAATTGTTCAAAGTTACAGCATCGTATATTAGGTAGAATAGGTCCACCCTTACTACACAGCATCCACAGGTTGAGATTTGTGGTAATGAAATGTTTAGAAGAAGTCCTTGTTTAGTGTTTGTTTAACATAGTTATAGTATCATGTTGTGGGTTGCTTTTATTTTGGAAGTCAGTTTTATAATACAAGTGTCATGTATTAAGTTCTGTCAAAATGACTTGTATTATTCATTAGACCTTTAAACAGCAGGTCATGTCTATAAAGTTTTAGCTGAGTTTAAATTCAAAGAAAAGCATCTGTTTTCATGATCCAATTATAAACATAAGGAGTCAGTTCTGAGAAAAAAATTAAGGAGTTTTAATATTATTGGCCCTTAATGAATTTATTGACAAAACTTCATTTTGATCTGTGTGATAACTTGGAATACCAGTGGAAGTGAAATTCAGAATTTGGGTAATATAAATGGTTTTGCTATAGATTACCTGTTTTGTTGAAATTTAATATTGGAGCTTTAAAATAAAAGCCCAGATCAAAATAATACTTTTTAAAACTTAATTTAAAAACTATGCATTTTGTAATGATAGAGTTTGTTTGTGTGTATGTTGTATCTGTTATTTTTCAATGTGTGTAGGTCTTATATTTTATAATAAACATTTGTAGGTGTGCCATCAAATGCTATTAGATCTGCAGCATTGCTTAACGTACACAAAGCCATTCCCAAATGGTGATGACTGTGAGATGAAAGCAGGACAGCTGGACCTGGAACAACTGTCAATCTTCCAAGGAAGTGAGGAGATTCAAGATAGACCAGAATACCTCAGAGAGGATCTTGTCTTCAAGATGATTGTCATGTCACTCTTGTGTATGACGAAGTTGCAGACTAGTGGTAAGTTTGGTTTTATTGTGTCAGTTTTTTTATCTATTGGATGAAACTACATACAAAATGTCAGTTTTAAGATCCTATGAAGACAGGCGAGAAAGTTTGTTTTATAACAATGCCAAAACATATTATTGTTAGGAAATCCAGTTTGTGTTGCACCTGTATGTAATTGCTATTCATATTGTGTCTGATGCTATAGGCAGCCATCTTATATTTGTTGATTATTTAAAATGGAAAAGGTTCAGGTTGGGAGACAGAAAATTCTACTTGTATTATACAAGTGTCCAGAAAGTTATGTTTAGGTTTCAGGAGGCAATATTATCTTAAGTCTCTGTCGGTAAATTTCCAAGTGCAGTTCTTGTGTGGCATGACAGATGTGTAGCTGGTAACTTATTTTAACCCATACACCTCAGCATCTCTAGTTCATCCAAGTTGGTCACCTTCCCAGTACACCCATGCATGTCAATGTTGACATAACCCTGCAAGAAAAACTTATGGGGAGAAAAATTTGGTGCTTTGAGAGTCAGAGTGGTTGGGCTTTCTGTCCGCATCCTGTGTCCAGGAAACATTTAGTTTCAGTCACTATGGACAGTTCTGTTGTAAAAAGACAATGCTTGATCGTGCTGAAAAAAACTTCAGCTTTGTCTTTTACCAACGGCAGAAACGCGGTTTCTCCATCATATGAAGTGTTCCCAATGAATGTGGCCTCAGCAAAGAAAAATTGTTCTATAACTTTGTTAAAACTGGGCTCCACCTCACGTTAATATTTAACACAGCAACACATTACTTTGCAACTGCCTCAGACTTTTTGAGTTAGTTTTCATTTGAGTGTTTCTTTATTCTTTGTGTATAATTGTTAGGGAAATACATCCTTGTTGTACCCCAAAGTGACATCCTGGATGCACTGTATATTAGCAAAGTTTTTATGTCACATTTAAATTACTTTGACTTCATACATAATAATTCAGCAGAGAGGAGGAAAAACAGAAGGCATGAAGTGCTATGATGTAAAGAGAAGGTAGACTTACAAGAGCCCTGCTTCAAAATTATTAGTTGCTTCTTACATCTGTGTGCTTGAAAGACATAAGAAGATAATCTGTATTTGAGGGGAAAGACATTGTCTGTAGATAATTCTGAAAGGAGGTTTTTGAGTATTTTGAATTGAGAGAGGCATACAACTTTGTGTACAGGAGCCAGACGTTATGCTCATGCTGTCGGTGGAATCATTAGTGCTATGTTGTCAGCTGTGTCAAGGATGTGTTATGAAATAGGAATAAATAAGAATGAAAGCTATGAATTTCTTATAGAATTACTAAGGAGGGTGATAGTGTCAAACTGATATTTCCAGTTAATTTGTATTTTTAAACATGCATTTGGAAATTTTAAGTAATTTTTTCTTCTTCTTTAATTTAATTATAACAGTAGATTTCCCCAATACAAATATTATGTTTCTGAACATTATCCATTGCCCTATTTTTATCTAAAACACTGTCCTGTTTTTTTTAAAAACACACTGTTTCAGAGACTGGATTCTGTCTCCACCTTCAGGTAGAACATACTCAGTTTGGCTCAGTCGATAGTGGTAGACAGTGTTTTATATGAAAACAGGATGATGGATAAGGTCCAGTAACATAATATTTAAATTTATGTACCATTGTCACACAATTTTAGACCTTATTTAGTAGATTTCTCATGGCAGTTAGGAAAAGAATATATGAAATATGCAGAAAGATGGAAGATTGAGAAGTATTAATAATTTTATGTGCTCTCTGAGCATGAAGATTACAGGTTTTATCTTGGGGTTAAACAAGAAACATGTTTCATGATGATTTAGTTGTAGGTGCAATAATATCGTTCCTTTTTGCAGGTTCACAGCAGGTATCCGCTGTGGTTGCCTTCACATTAGCGATGTTTTCTCAGCTGGTCCAGCAAGTAATCCATCACATTCAAGATTCAGTTTTCAACATATCATTTCAGTCTTTACCTTCGCCTACTACCATTGCCTCCTCTTCACTTGAGCTAAACTTAACTGACTTCTCTGCTAGAGACGGTAATATTAAGATACCTCATGATGGAATAAACATCAGTCAGCAACCTTCAGATCAGTCCTGCACTGGTGAAAGTGCAGTGCCTTTGGTAAATGGATGTGCAGATGAGAATGACAGTCAAGAAGCCAAAGCTGTTATCAAGAAGAAGAAATCTAAACTATTGCAAAGGCTAAGGAAACGCAGGCGTAGGAGGAGAAGGCGACTGAACAGTTCTGAGGATTCTGATCTAAGTGATGGTAATGTTTGGTTTGTATTATGAAAACATACTGCCAGGGAATTTGAGGTTCTAACTGTGGTGGTTATGAGGAGTTCTGTTCATATAGTCTGTTGAAAGTCAACAGACGTTTCAGAGGAATATGTTGTTGCCATCTTTGGCATCATAGAATAATTCAAGCAAGAAACCAGCATGAACGAGGTAGCAAGCAGAGCTGTGCTTGCCTTATTTTTCATCTTTGAAGGTGGAGGCTACACATTCCTCTGAAACATCCTTGAATTTTAATGGACTATACAGTGTTATATCTCAGAAGATAGGGATCTACTGTCATAAAAGTTGAACAAACTTTTGAGTAATTCCTTCATGGCTATGGTTGAATTTTGGCTTTCAGGTGTGAACCACATTAGAATTTTCTTAAGTGACATTAGAAAAATCATCACCACCGATTGTACGTGGTGAAGGATAGTTGCAGTAGTTTCAGTAATCAGAGCAGCTGCATTGTTTATTGATTTATTAATGCACGAGTGACAGGATGCCCCAGCATTATGGTTGCTTAGAAATTTTACCACTACATTGGCTTCGGCCAGAAAGTCTGGTAATTCTAAGTTGAAGCAGCTATGTTATGTATTCAAGTAATCAGGTTTCCTGAGTAATATACTATCAGTACAACACTGATTCTGTTATTATACAGACATGTGGTTGCATGTTTTGATCCTAATACATCATCACCATATCATAAATATTCTTTTAACAACATGATCACTAAAATGTATGCGCATGTATTATGGCTGTATTATATTTAATGTTGTCACATGAGTGAGGGGGTTTGGGAGTATTGTGTACACAGCTCTTCTGAGCAAAGCCATGACTTCCCCCTTTCTGGATGGTTCTGGAAGCTAAAGCTGGCTGAGGTGTTTCATCTAGGGTCAGGAATATATTGCACCAGAATGAAGTGTTGTTGAGACAGTGAGAAGTGGCAGTTTTGAGTTGAGTCTGCACATAGAAATTGCATGCAACATTCATGTGTGGTAAAACAGTGCCACAAAAAGTAAGCAGTGAGTCCTGAGCTGGTAACAATAAGATGGATTGCAAGTAGGCAGTGTAGTGGTGTCCTGTGACATAGTAGTGAACTAAAACAAACTGATGTCAAGACCATAAGCGATAAACTGAAATACTGTTCCATAAAAGGATGAACATTACATCTGATGTTAAAAGTCAAATTGAAGATGGATCCTGTATCCAGAAAGTTCTGAAGTAGAAAAATAAGATAAGCACTAACAAAGAATGATGTGTCAGCGAAACTTGCAGCTTGTAAAGAAGAAGTGAGATAAGTGCCAACCAAGACCAGCTTGTGGCTGGCCAAAACCAACTGCCAGCCTGCCAAAAAGAATTTAAAAGTGAAATAAGTGACATAAAGACTGCCCAGAGTGAATTTGAGGGAGCAGTAACAGACCTCCTAGATAGACAATTTAGGGCACCATGGTGGTGGTTCAGCAACAGGCCTTAACTTTTCATGAGGTCAGTAATGAGCTGCAGGGGACACAGAGTTGACTTGACATTGTGGCAAATTGCTGCAACTTGAGAGTTGCACAATAGGAGTTAGAGATGCAGCTGGCAGCTGTTGAAGCCCAGATTAGAAATGTAGGTGGTAAGAACACAGGACCTGGTGCTGTCATAGTGAAGCACTGAAGTTTAGTGACTCCACGTTGTAGTCAAGTTGCTGCCATCAACTTGAGCAGTTGAGACCAGGTGTTGGCCAGATGTGTCACCATGGTCTGCTGTGAACATGTTATGTGGGCAGTGCCCGATGATGTTTTGGAACCTCAAATTCCAGGGACTCAGTAGCTCATTGAACACCTGCAAAAGGTGATGTCTGGCATAAGGCTGAACCCTGAACACAGGAGAAGCATGTAAGTTGGAGAAGTTAATTGTTTAATTCCAGAATATTTTCACAATGAAGAGCAGTTGATATGGGTGGACTGAAAGAGTTTCCCACAGCCTCAACACTGGCAGTGGCTGTCCAGTCCATTAGTCCACACATAGACTTCCATTGGCAAAGCAGTCTGTTATGAACTGAAGTACTGCTCCAAAGCAGGATTAACATTACAATATGTTGATTCTGTTTAGATTGAAACTAATGGTGATGTACGTAATTTTAATATATTGTCACGTGTTAGGTGTATGTCATGCAACAGATAACTTCGTGCTGTTCTGGATATAGTGAATTTATTGAACACTCGCTCTCACAAATTATACAGTTTACAATTTTCCAATTACTGCCATCTGCAGTATCACAGATACTTCTCCTGTAGTCATTTCCATTCGCTCGGCGAATGCTAGATTGCAACTGACTGGTTACTCTCTCTCTAGTAACTCACTTCTCACTCACTACTGAATAGTGTTTGCTGCTCCTTATTTAAGCTCGGCACGGACAACACAGAAAACAATTACGTGATAGGTACCAATGTTGCGTAACGTCGTGTTTACCAGTTGCCTAGCAGCAGTCACTGTATGGGCTCCCCTGTTGCATGATGTCACAGCCTAGCAGGGAGGGGTGTTTACCGAGCGTTGCGTAATGATAGGAGTGGAGAATGTGACGTCACTCATGGAAACGCAGAGTTCACGTGACCCCTACTTCCTGTTGCGCCACCTACATCACACTATTTTAAAGGAGGGTTGCTTGTAACAAGACACTTAATAGCATTATGAAAGGAATATTATGGAACAGAAATATAGCAAAACAGCAATCTACAAAGTATATTTTAAACCCATGGTAATGTATAATGCCAAAACATGTATTTTTACAAAGAGAAACAAAAACAAAATCTGACAGTTGTAATGCCATTCAGTTTGATAGAAGTCCACAGGCATTTTTGAGGAGCATATGGCCTCCATCTTCAGGGCAGGGCATGAAGCTGACCGCTCACCTCCAAATAGTGCCAAGGTCAAGAAAACATGGGTCTGTACATTCACTCCCTCATATGCCTTCATGGCATAGTGCTTAATTACTTAAGCACAGGGAGAACTTTACCTTGGATCAGAATAGAAATTACCTTCAAATTATCACTGCAAAATTCAGTTTAAAAAACTTTCATTGATGAAACTGTCCAGAAACATAGTTCCAAACACAGCCTAGGATTTTCAGGGCAATGGGAGTGGTAGTGGAAGGAATCTCTTCTTTATTTTTTCATAATCAGTTAATTATGATTAGAAATTGTTATATCATGCATATTGTTACCGGCATAGAATATGACTCATCTGTCAGTGCCAGTGACTCTGAAGAACGTGTATTTGTTCAACCATTTTGAAGGTTCCTTTGATAAAGATTAAAATGTAATGCTAGAACTATTGTGTGATGTTATATTTGAGGTTATCATGATTGTGAATATTATCTGTCAGAGTGCACAGTGCCACATCCCTGAAGTCCCTTATCATAGTTACTGTCTGGTGCATTATGTATGACATAAACCTCTAAAAGAAAGAAAAAAAAAAAAAGAAATTGGCTTTGGAGGAAGGTTATGCATTCAAATGAATGAATGTATGAGGGGTGGGCCACAATAATATGGCCCTTGCACCACAACCATCAATGATGTATAAGGTTATGCATTTAGTTAAGGTGGCAGTGAACGTTTTAATGGTCTGTCCCATGTTCCATTGGCTCCACTGAGTCATTTAAGCAGGGTCTTGAGCAGTCAGTAATTACTGAGCTGTTCGAAATCCCCTTTTATGCTTTACAGAAGCCTGTGAGTGAAATTAATATAAAATCAGATCAAACAGTGTGTTTGTACTGGACAATGCCAGGTGCACAGTTAATGGTGTTGTGTGTTTATTCTTATTTGTGTGATGTCTTTTGCTGTTTTCATATTTCAGACAAATTCTTTATGTATTTTTGTGCTAAGTGGATAGTAATTTGCTTTAATCTTGTTATTTATTTTAGTTAATTAAATTTTTTATATTGAACATTGTGTTTATTTTACATGTTTTATCAACTTTTTTACAATGTTTTTAATTTCACAGGCGATTACCCATATGGTGATGGCACCTCAAGTTCAGATGATGGGGAGTCAGATATAAATGAGAGTAAAGAACCAGGCTTGGATTTGAGCTCCGATGATGATGAGGAAGATGATGAAGAAGATAATGAGGAGGGTGAGATTTCAAAAGAACTGCATAGAAATTCTGATAGCCCCATATTCACTGAAATCACTGTAACCAATGGCAAAATGTGTGGCAGTGTTGCCAAAGATGAATCAAATAAATGCAATGGCTTGAAATCTGTGAAGAAAGCTGACATGTTGAGAGAAACCATCACCAGTCCACCCACTAATATCAATGGCTTGGGTGAGGATGAAGGCAGTTGTTCTGATGGTTTGGTGATTAGTAGTAACAGTTCAAATAATTTGGAAGTTGTAACAGGTAAAGAAATCAACACTGAAGACAGAAACATAGATAAAAGCAGAATGAAGAATGGTCAGATGCTGGATCCAGCAGATGTGATTGAGTTGGTTACTGAAGAGGGGCTGCTGGTCGCAGTCAAAATATGTGCTGACTGGCTTCATGGAGATAGTGACATAATAAAAGCTTGTGGACGTAGCTCATGCACTCTTCTGTCCAGATTTATAGTGCTGTTGAACCTCATCAATGTGAATGCAGATGCATTTGAGAAAGGTATGTTAACATAATTGTACAAATTAATTTTATTTATATATGGTTTATTTACTGTCATTATCTCAGACTGTATAGTATTGAGTTGTACAGTGACTTGTGAGTGATTACTTGGAAAGGATTTGGAAAATAGTGATCATGGCATGATTGAGGTATGATCCTGGCATTTGCCTGGAGGGACTGTACCAGCCTAGATTTGAAATGGGTGCCTATTAAATGTGTCAGAAGCGTTATTGCTTCAGACAACTTGCTTGCTATGCAGATGTGTTGATCATCTGAGGTAGAGGAGCAAAATATACATACCAAAACACAGACCTTGTTTTGCTGGCCATTTAGTAAGAACTGGAATGTCCATTTATAATTAACCTTGAGAGACAATTTAAACATCCATGTTATAATGTTACCTGAAAAGATTACTGAGTATTATTAAAAAACCCCTCTTGCAGCGCATATGTACAACAGCTATGCAAGACAACAGAATTACACAAGAATATTGTCTTTTAATTCATCTATCTTGATCAGATTCATGCAGAACCGATTCAAGCAGGAGGTGAAATATTATGTTCTAAGATCCATAATCTAATTAATTCTCTTTGGAATAAGGAAATATTGCCTGATCAGAGGAAAGAATCTATTATTGCACCAGTTGATGGGAAGGGTGATAAAACTGTAGAAAAAGAAAACGAATTATTGGCGTGTTTCTCATGGTGACAACCCTTTTTTTAAGTTCCGTAGACAAAACTAAATTCAGAGCTTTGGGTCTGGTTTGAATTTCACCTCATTTAAAGCTAAGTTCAAGCCTGCACTGGGCTATAAATTTTTTTATCATCCAGAAGAAATTAACTACATTACATCACACAATAGCAATGTAGTGCTGATAAACTCAGCTTATTTTCATTAGTGTATTTTGTTTGAATTATGTGTATTAGGGCCGCTTTTGTATTCCTGATGAGAAAAGAAAATGGTCAGTATTAAAAATTTCTCAGCTTCCTCATTTTTAACAACTGACTTATTTTTCTACCTTAAGTGTATGTTACAAAATACATTTTACAGTTACCTGAAATTAAGTTAATTAATTGCAGGATCAGGTGTTGGCCAGTTTCTGAAGTTGAAAAATATTAAGGATGTATTCAGGAGAGTTCCCTTGCCAGAGGATGTGATGTTGAAAGGTCTGCCAGTGTTAAAGAATAGCCATGATGCTATGGATTGGGAATACCTGCGCCATCACTGTCTGAATACAAAAGAAGAAGTAAGTGTTACAATGTATCGAGATTTTCTGAAGCTATCACAATGTGATGTGTGAATAGAGGTTATGATTAGAGGCAGAAAGTCTGAACTGTAAATGCTTGTGTTGCAGTTCTGTTTTTATTTTTTTAGCCAATTTATTAGTTCATGTAAAATACAATAGATTATATGAACAAGTGTATCTAGGTTGAAACTAAAATTAAGATTGTTGTAGCAGATCCAGCCTAGCAGTCAGGGGAGTATAGAACTATTTGTAATTTGTATGGAAGGTCCAGAAAATATTACAAATTGTATAATACAGTGAAACCCGAGGATGTTGGCCACATGTGATTGTATTCTAGTGCAGCCAGCTTACAGAAAATAGCATTAAAATTCCCAGTACAGCATTTTCATCCCTAACATATTACATTGCAAAATGAAGTTTGTACCACAAATTGTCAGTGAAAAATCCGTCGAGTGTAACAATGTTTTTAGGTCACTTATTTATCTCACTTGCCTTACATGTTTCGGTTCAAGAGAAACCATCATCAGAGGCACGTATTATAAACACACGACAACACTGGCGTTGTTTAATGTACACAGTATGTAAGCTGCGTTACAGGTGTCGAAGTGTAAAAGCACAACACTTTCTAGTAGCATTGAATGCACGTACAACTCTTGCATTCCATCTGAAAATTGCCCTCAAATTGAGCCGTCAATGTTAAAATATTTAAAAGTTTAAAACATCTAAAGTAAAATGTTCGGCTTCTTCTTGTTGATTCGTCCCGATGATGGGAAATGTCAACTTGATGTTGTGTAGGCTTATGGTCGGATGTTTCTTACGCGTTGTGTGTTGTGAAACAATTCAAAATGAAGTTTGTACATTTAAAATAAACATGATTCAGGCGTTCTTATTTAAGATCAAAATGATAATGCTACACAAGATAAGTATTGTTGAAATATGCAGAATAGTAAATTTCGACAAATTATTGTTTAGTGAATTATTGTAATGCAGAGATTATGATATATGAATTTGTGACATGTGACTTAACCAGTATACTAGTCCCTTGTTCTAAGCAAATATCCATGCCATAGTGATGAGCAATTGTTTGCTGATAGATACTTCACCAGTTGAATTTATTACTTTAATTTAAAACCTAGTTAATTTAAGTAATTAGTTTTGCATACATTTTGCATGCTTTTTGTTGAACTTCACTATGCACTTTGAACACTACAGATGTGATGTGATGTCCACAGAATAATGGGTTGTGACAGGTTATTTCATTAAAAAAATTTTGCCTTAACTGGAGGAGGAAAGAAAAGAGTTCCACTTCTGATCACAAGACAGGTGCTTAGCAAGTGAAGAAGGAAAAGAAACTGTACATTGGTGGTATGAATTTTACCACATTAACTAAAGTCTCACGGAAATTTTCTGAGAGTAGACTGCCTGGTTGTAAAAACTTTCGTTGTCCATTGTATAGTACATATTGCAAAACAGAAAGGAGAAAAGGTTTTAGTAGGCAAACATAAAGAAGTGAGTTCAGGAAATTTTCTTTGTAGGCTTGTGATCTGGTGCCAAAAAAGAAATTACAAGTCATTCCAGGACAGTGGTTAAGACACAATGGTTAAAATAAGTGTAATCTGCAGGAGGATGGTCACGATACAGGATAGACATGTGGCCAAGATACAAGGGTTCAGCCGTGAATAAATACATACAATTTTGCTGGTCCTGTGGAAAACCTCAACGATTTCACTTTTTCTTTACATATGTAAAAAATTTGCTTCTTGTATGCATATCATTACATATCATGTGGTCTGTTGCTGCATACTGCTTGAAGAATACGTCATGAGCATTGCACAAAAATTAATCCTGTTAATTGAAGCTGGAGGAACCAAATTTCCACATTAATTGGCAACTTCATATAATTGGATAATATTGCGTGGGTGTAATCTTATAAATTATCAGCTGAAAACAGTTAAGCAAAAATGTTGGATTTGGGGTTCTCAAAGTGGTGGTTATGAAGAGTTCTTTCTGGGATATAATACTGTGTAGTCATAAACATCACTTGTTTGCTTGATACTTGTTTCATGCCTGACTTACTGTTCAGCCCTGAAAATGTGGCATTTGTTCCTCTGAAATGTTGATTGATTTTCACTGGACTATACAGCACTATATCCAAGAATACAGAACTCTTCAGTTCGCTAAAAGTTTTATATTAAATTTGAGGTTCTCATGGCACTGACTATGGAAAGTGCTGTTTTCTGGGATGTGACCCTATGTAGCCTGGTAGAAGTTTCCTGACATTTTGGAGGATTTAACTACCTCCATCCTCAGGGGTGAAGAATAAACCAAGCAAGAAGCAAGGGAAGTTTGCTCTAAGTAAATTCCACTATACTACAAGTATATAGAAGTATAAGTATACATTCTAGAAGATAGTACTTGTCAAGAATTTTGTAACTTTTCTTATGAATTAATGTTTCCGTTATATGTCAGAAGTGTTTATGTGTACACATTTTTATTGGATCTCCAACAACATAACCAGAATCTTGCTCCTGTAAATGAAGTTTTGGGTGAAGCATTTTTTTGTACCATCATACATAGATATAAGTAGTTTTGTAGCTTTCTTGAAGACGTGTGTTTAACTTATTTAGGTGCCTTCTGATATTAAGTGAAAAGACCAGATCTTGAACCCATATAGTATTTTTAATACCAGTAGGAGAACTGTCACTAAATACTCAAGTTTGTATAGTATTTTATTTAAGCATCTTGCTGCATTAATATATCTTTTGTACACACATATTTCCATCTTAAACTCAACTTATTATCTGGTCACCCTTCTTCCTCACTACATGTTTCGGCCATATACGACCATTATCAGGTGTTGTCTTGCTAAAATTGTTGCTTTGATGTCAAAATTACATATCGTGTGTGAATACAATATTCCCTAATTAAAATAAATTAACCAGAATTAAAACTATTAGGGTGTTATTTAATCTTAATTTGGGTTAATTTATTTTAAATAGGAAATACCATGTTCACATGGGATATGTAATTTTGACATACATCTAGGATCTTGTGTGAACCGATGTATCAGAGGAAAGTGTTGTGTATTGCTCCTGTTACGCATGCAGTAACAGGAGCAAAACACAACACAGAACACGATACACAAATGTANAATACAGATTTTAGTCATTTTAGAATGAAGACATCGTGGCATGCAGTACAATAGTTTAACGTGCATAAAGACACCTGAGGATGGCACATTAGTGCTGAAACATGTAGTGTGGAAGTGAAGAATAAGGTGAAAAAGTGTATACACTGTAAGACGGTTAGCATAAACCATGGACATGAATCAGTGTAACAGGACGCTAAAATATAACATTATCGGTAGTTTTCCTCAGTTCGTTGTTTTTCAGATATCACATTTGACAGTTCAGATGAATATGCAGTCATATGTTTGTGGGTTACAGGCCTTGTTGCGTGTATACAAACTGGTAGAATTTGGCCACTTCCTCGCTTCCATCCCAGATACAGGAGTGAGTTATGACTCAAAACAGAAGCTTTTCAGCATTACCAGTGAAACTGATGGTGCTCCAGCTGAAATGTCTGAGGATAAAATTAAGGAGACTGTTGCTGCCAATGTGAGTGTTACATTTCTGATTTACTTGAATTTTATGCAAATCAGTGATAAATGTTTGTTCCATTATGATGTGAACTAACATTTGGTAGCATGATAGCAAAATAATTTGTCAGCTTCCTTCCCTGCACTATCAGATATTAAATTATTATGTTTAATATTATGACACGGATATGAGCCAGAGTAGCACAGTCGGTATAGTGACTGCCTACAGGCTGGAAGACTGAGGGGTTGGATTTCGAGTCCTGGTAGGGTCAGAATTTTCTCTTCTCTGTATCATTATCATCCAGACTGGCTCTGTGGCCCACCCAGCCTCCTATCCAATGGGTATGGTGGGGGCTCCTTCCCCAGGGGGAAAGCAGCAGGGGTGTGAAGCTGACCACTCACCTCCAGCTAGTGCTGAGGTCAAGAAAATGTGGATCTATACTTCTGCTCCCCCATATGCCTTCATGGCATAGTGCTTAATTAGCTAAGCACAGGGACAACTTTACCTTTTTATGACAGGGATGCATGCACATTTTGACAATGCAATTGGCAACTGCACAGACACACATGACTTTGCTGATTGTGTCATGGTAGTCCTTGAATGCAATACACCACTCATATACCTGTGCCTTAACAGTGTATTGTCCATGAACTGTGGTCTTAGTCTTTGCTGAATATCAGTCAGTCCTGCATATTCTTTCACCAAAGATTCGACAGTACATTCCTTCTCTATCTTTTTACTGATTTATATGCACAGCATCTTCCAGCAGGGCAAAGTGCATGTGCCAAGTACAGTTCATATGTGGAGGAGAGGCCTATGAAATTACTGTTCATCAGTGACTCTGATACTCATCGTTGCTTAATGAGAAAGAGCAAAAATTCTGTGTCAGATTTGAGCCACATACATACAGCACTATGGAAGAAAGTTGACGTGTTGAGAGAATGAGCCGTGGTAATGCCTCTAAACATGTGATATAGAGGCAAATGCCTCCAGTAATGATCTAACCACCTTAGTGATGCTGGGAGAGTCTGTTTCTGAGATATTGGCATCTATGAAGCAGACTCACTACCCCCTGTGGTATGATAATGAGGATTGTGGCCGTTCTGATATTAATGACAGACCTTTAGTTTTTCAGTTGTTACGCGGTTTCCTGTCATCCGTTGCTTTTAGAATGGGCCATAATTGTCACTTAGACATTCCTTTGTGGCTCTTCTTAGTGTAAAAAAAAAAGTAAGTAAAGCTATCCCTGTACGAGGCCGTGAAGGCCCATAGGGTTGCGAGACATTGAGGGTCCCACATTATCTAGACAATCGGCTCAAAGATGGCGGTAAGATTTTCAGCCTTACGCGCTGACCGCGCTTTACTCCCCAAGAAAATTATTTAATTAATTCCTGGTACTCATTTCTGTTAGAGGCTGAGTAAACCCCAGGGCCTAGTGCAGCTGGAAGGATTAGGTCAACTGAAAAAAATCCAATGACCTAATCTGGATTTGAACCCGCGACCTTCCAGCTTGTAACGTAGCACCTCTACCACTACGCTACCGCGTACCATGGCTCTTCTTAGTGTATTTACATTTAAATTAAAATTGTTTGCTAGATTACTGAGAGTAGTTGCTTGAGAGTAAGATTTCTTGCTTTGAGATTGTCTTCAAGTGATATTGGTATGGATAATACTTTTTTGTATAATTATTTCTTAGAGATACTGATACACGTCTCAGTTCGGATCCTTTTCTTCGGGTATCGAAAAGTGTTGTCATTATAAGTTTTGTTCTGTTATGAAATATGTGTTCCGCTAGTTCTTTTCAGGTGAAAACTTGTCTACATAAGCTGTTATTCTACCCTTGCAAATAGTGTTATGCCACATTTTAAAAGCAGAGCACATATTTCCATCATATCCATTATTAGTCATCTGTCAGGCAGTACAGTATGAGCATGACAGCTGTTGTGGTTATGAAATGTAGTTTCAGAACATTTAGAATTTGAGTCAGGCAAAATTGTGAAGGCATGAAACATGTAAGTGAAGGGGAGTTCTCTGTTTAATGAAGATTCAGGAGATGTTTTAGTTTAGTCATTAAGCCTTCAATCAAGCATTTAATCCCCTTTGTGTACTGTATCCTTCCATAATATTTTTAAACATCCATTTAATCTTTACAGTGACATTTTTAAGTGTACATAAATAAATGTCAGACCGCCTCTGTGGTCTAATGGTCAGAGTTCTTGGCTACAGATCTAGAGGTCCTGGATTCGATTCCCGGCACTACCACATATTCTGAGAAGTAGTGGGTTGGAACGGGGTCCACTCAGCCTCATGAGGATAACTGAGCTACTTGAATGGAGAAGTAGCGGCTCCAGTCTAGAAAACCGAGATTAACAGCCATAGGGATCCGTTACGCTGACCACGTGACACACACTATCCACTGAAGTTGGCACTAACTAACTTGAATAACATACCCTTAGAACCTTTTTTTCTTCCAATGGATATGGTTACAGCATTTGAAACTGTAGGTTGACCCCTCCCAAGTGGGTATTGTAGTGGGACATAACATATGTTTTTGACTTCCGTGGCACTACTTATGAACACGTGCATCTCACCTGTGTGGTATGTGGAGTCTTCACTTTCTTCTTCTTGTGTCAGATCAGAACTCATACATCCCCCAAAATTTGACTAAACCATTCATCCTTTTCAGTTTTCTGGCTTTCATAAAGGGAGAAACAATCTTTCTGTTGACAAGTAGGGTGCCATCACAGCCTGTTGCCTATGATTTCAGGAAACCCACTAGCTCAAAAAAAAAATGAAATACGTGACTGAGGCTCAGTAGAGGTTCCACAAGTTTGTTGCTGTAACAGTAACACTAGACTTGTATTTTGGATGCAATTAGTTTGAATGTCAACTCTGATGTCTTCTGTCCAGATTGAGGTTTTTCTCTGCATTCTGCCTGCTTCATGCTTATAAATTTATTATATTTTGTTGCCCAATAATTCCATTTTCTTGGTTTGATAATGCCATATATAAATTCCCATTTGCGCCTCTATAGTATATTCCCATTTATATTTATAAAACAATTATAAAATTGTAATTTTAAGACAACAAGCAATTTGTATGTATAAAGTCTGTGGGAGAAATATGAAGTCCACTAGAATACGCGGATAAATGTGAAAAAGTGTTGAAATGACCATCAACTTGAATCTGCCATTTCATATCATTTCGTTTAAAATTTGGATGGCGCTTCATACATAGGACGCAACATTAACACATTTTACTTGTAAATTCTGTTACAGTGAGTAGTCAGCTGAGTGTGTGAGCGCATTTAATGATTGGAAACCCTTTATGTCAATTTGCACTTTTATGGCCTCCTAAAACCCAATCTCTTGGTGTTGAGGGGAGGCAAGGCATTAACAGAAACTGTGGTAGTCACCCGGTATAATCGAAGCAGAAACAGCTTTATGTTCCACCCTCAGGGATGACTGGCTAGTGGTCCTGCAATGCTGCCTCGCTGTCAGCTAGTTCATATAAACAGGCCATACTTATGCACTGGGGTGTGTTTTATCACGTAGTAAAACTGAAAGGGGGCAAGGGGGAGGCAGTGGAGAGAAAGTTACACGCAGTTAACTGCTTGGAAGAGAAGAGAGAGGAAGAATGATATTAAATGGCCCAGATATCAAGGGAGTAAAAAATAGTGGGGTGCAAAATAAAACAAAGTAAGGTAAGAGTTCTTTGCTGCATAGATATGTTATATCCACAGACTATGAAGTACAATATGTACAGGCTGTGCAAGAAGTTTTAGAAATTTGATGGGAATTACAAGGTCATCTTATGTGTTGCTGGATATATTCATGCCTTTGAAAACGTCCATAAAATTGGTAATATACAGCGTATAAGAAACTAAGCAGATCGGCCTGATTGTGCATCGTTTGTGAGGTTCGTTTAATTTATGAAATCATGATATGGCAGGAATGTTAACTGGACACAAGCCAGAATAGTAACTGTTAAATTAAAATAAGGTGTCAGTGGTTAGGAAGGAAGTGCAGGACAAATTTGAACATAATTGAGTGAATGAGAGAAAGCAAGGGGAGAGAAATGTTTTAGTTTGCCAAGCATCAGAGCGGATAATTGTGTATGTCTGCGAACTGAGTCTCGTCATTTTCGCCTCGTGTCTGCTGGTATAGATTTTTTTGCCCCCCCCACCACCACCACCATGAAAATGAGGGTGAGCATGTAGAGGGAGAGAGAGGGGGGCAGGAGGGAGCAAAGTGCTGTCAAGTGTACACACATTTGTATCGACCGGGATAAAATGTGCTCTGTGTGTACAATCAGATTCCACTGGACGTGTGATACTGATGAAAACAAGTTGGTGTGCATGTTACCACCATTCAGGGGTGGTGAGAGGGAGCATTATATTTTTGAATTAGTGGTTGTGGGAAAGGACTTGAGCTTTTCGCTTTCATGCAGTATTGTTAATATAGCGAAGTTGATATGCCGGTGTAGTAAACATGCCTCTTTTAAATTTAATTATTACCTGTTGTTTATTAAAATGTTGACTTCAGTTTTGTAAAGGCGAAAGAATTATTCCAGTAAAAAGTAGGTTGTTATGAAATCACAGATTTATTTCTTGCATGGATTTCAGCGTTGAAGTGTTCAGATATTTCTCCCTTTCGTTTTTGTTTTGTTTGAAATCGAAAACTCTGGTAATAATTAATTGTTCTAATTGTAGATCGGTTATGTGATGTTTTGGCAGATACTACAGCTGCATGCTTCTTTACACTGTTTTAGGTGTAATTGCCACATGTTAGTTGGAACATAGGGATATAATTCAGTATTTACTTAATCTTGGTTTATTTAATACACTCTGAGTTTCTAAGCTTAGAAGGATATGATTAGTGAATAATGAATTTTGGAAGGATGTGAAAGGAAGTGGTTGTGACCTAATCTAAGGTAATGTCCTGGCATGTGCCTGGAGAGTCTGAGAACACTACGCAACCTCAGTCAAGGTTGCCCGTTGATGATGATGATTATGATGG